GAAAAGGTTCAGTAGCATTTCTGTCCTCTGCCAACTAAATCCTGGAAGTATCCCTTTTGTTGTGACAATCAAAGCTGTCACCATACACTGTCAGAGGGGAAAAACTGCCCTTGGCTGAGAACCACTGACTGAAGGAAAGGGAAAGAACCCCCCTCCCCCGAGGTACTCAGGGAGGAGGGATTGCACAATCCTTCATATTTTCAATGCTTAGGGGAGAGTTTACGCCTCTTCAATCAATATGGTGCAAGAGGATTATTAATATGGAAAGGGAAGACTGATTAAGAGGGACAAAGAGGTTTCTCTGAGGATTAGAAATTTCTACATTCAAACTCCAGACTGACTCTTATGATGCTACAGGAATTGGAGAAATTCCTGAGCAATTATTCATGTGTCTCCTCAAAATGTGCTCAGACTAAAACTTCATTGATGGCTTACTATCAGATAAGCAGACTTGATGAGCTTTGTCAGGTAGGTTGCTAGAGTCTATGTGGACCCAAATTTCCCATCACTCTGATGGGTAAAATCCCATTCACATAAGGAATGGTGCAAGGCCTACAAGTACTTTTCTTTTTATCTTTGGGGAAATTGCCTGCTCACTCCTTATGATCTTTCAAATAGTTTGACATTCCTTCCTTGTTTCTTCCTCTTTCTATTCCTGTTCCACTCTTTCCTCTATCTCCTTCTACCAAACCAGTCAATTGGTACCTTAAGGGCTACTTTCTAGACTGTAACAAAGTACCTGACCCATCACACAAAATCAACATATTTTTGTTGAATGAGTAAATAAATAAATATATGAAAATCACTAAATATAGGGAAACCAGAATTAGGATCACATGTTAATGTTTTCCTAGCACATAGAGGAAGTGAGGTTAAAAAATAATAATAGGAAGGACTATTCATCCAGCCCATTAACAAGATAGCTTATGATGGTGTCAGTTTATATCAGGTTTACATATTGTGCACATTTTCATTTCTATATGCATGATACTGTCTTCAAAGTGAACACATCTTCTCTGTCCACTTGCAAGCATGCATGCATCTAACGACAACATGCACACACACAAACACACACACACATCATGTGTGAATATGAGGAGTGACTCTATTTGCTAAGCTAAGGAATCCTGTGGCACAACACAATACCCTGTTTATAGATCTTCTGATTCTTTCAAAAGAAGAAAGGCTCACATCTCCTCACTTGAGCTGTGTATGACACTTTGATATTCATGAAGTACTCTTTCATTAGATCTATTCTCAAAAAAAAAAAAAACCCTTAAAACTCTGAATGTGAAATCTTGAGTTGGATTTGATTGCTTAGTGGGGATGTGTAGCCAGCTCTATTCAGCTACCAAAGTTTAGATTGCCCCTTTATTCCTTTGTCCCCCAAACCTTTTATATTCCTGACTAACAGTAATACCTGGGAGGTGGTCATTGGGGTTCTTTTGGTTTCCCAGTTGTGAACATTTTTATCCACAGCCATAATCACGGAGAGGCTTACACTGTCATTGATATTTCCAGACAAGGTGGATAAGCTGTGGTCAGCAGCGATGTAGCCTGAGGACCCAGTGTCTCATCTTGAAGTGATTTCAATTAGGTTTTATTTTTATTTCTTGAATCGTAAGTCTCTTTTAGATATAGAATATTCTGCAGTAATAGTACTTTCACATTCAGTTGAGTGGTGGTCAATTTTTGGAGAGATACTAAGGTGTAGGACTTTTCCCAGTTAGTGGGAAGAAGGAAAATCACAGCTTTGTAGTGGGGATTAATCTCAGTAACATTTTGGTCCAGCCCACTAGCTTATTTACTGCAATTCAATATGTATTTTTTAAGTATCTAATAAATGATAGTAATTGTATAGGTGCTAGGAGGAATCCACAGAGGAAAATACATGATCTCCACCCTAAAGAGATCCCCTCTGTTCTCTTACTATTTCTTCCCAATCTGATTCTGAAATGGGACAGTGTATAAAGGACATTTAAGATAATTTCCTGAAATTAATACATTGAAAGCATCTTGAAGAGTAAAAGATAATTACAATTCCTTTTCTCAACCATGAAACTAAGAGTTGTACCTTGAATATCTATAGATTCAGTGAAAAATGATTAATAATAATACTGTTATTTATTATAACATGCCAATTTCTAGGTTCACTGATATTAGATTAATAACAACAAAAAATAATAGCTCTTAGAATTATGTGATTTTTTAAAATGGGAAAACAGTGTTACATGAATTTTTTTAGAAGATGGATATTGGTCTTCATTTGACTTAGAATTTCAGAGAAAATAATTGTAGGCTACTCCTATTACAGTATTGTCAGAGTTGGAAGGAATCTTTGAGGATATCTAAACCAACCTCTCTTATATTTCCTAATGAAAGTATTTCAGAGAGGAGTTAGTTTTCTGTCCTTATTTCATCTCTCCTAGCCTCTTCCTATCAGGAGGACTATTCTGACCTTTTGTTGAATGTTTCTCAGTAGAGGGGACGATCCGCAGTGATCCGATATTGAGAGTGGCCATGATGGTCTCTGTGTCAACCAGAGTCTGGCTGCTCGATGGCTTAGATGAGGGTGCTAAGATAGCACACATGGAACATTTCTCTATGTTGAGTGCCTGTAGGTCTGCAGGATAGAGTGCAGATCCCTGATGAGAGAAAACCAGATTGAGAAGGAACTTTTCAGATGAAAGGATTTGATATCATGGCTCATGGTGGTGGGTCTTTGTGGGTGATGTGATTTGCACACTCAAATATCTCCAGCATCTACTGGCTTGATCTAAATACTTATTTACTTGATATATGACATATTTATGCTAATCATCATATGAACTGAAGCAAGGGAGGTGGAACAGAGAACTTTGTGATTTTTTTTGTGTTAAAAATGTTAATTTTTTTTAGTTGTAGTTCGACACAACACCTTCATTTCATTTATTTTTATGTAGTGCTGAGGATGGAACCCAGGGCCTCACAAGTGCTAGATAAATGCTTTACCACTGAGCCACAACCCCTGTCCCTGTGATGTCTTTTTTAATAGAGCAAACGTAATTTGATTTTTGAGAGAAACCTTTTTGAAGTTTGAAAAATATTGCTTACATATTGCCAATATTATTTTAGAAAAATTCCAAATGCTTTGGCATACATAGTAGATTTTTTATCTAGGGAAATGGTAGCATACATTGGGATAAAACCCATGAGAGTAATGAAACAGATTGGAACTACAATACCACATAAGCATCCTGTCTAAATGGATCCTGTCTTAGACTGTTTTCTGATGCTACAATACAATATCACAGACTGGGTAACTTATAAAGATAATTCTCATAATTCTAGAATATGGGAAATCCAAGATGGAAGACCTATATCCAGTGAAGCCCTTCTTGCTGCATCATATCATGGTGGAGGGCATCAAATGGCAAGAGTTCACACACCCACGAGAGAGGATGGAGCCAAACTTCATCTTTAATTAGGAACATATGCTCACAATAACTAATCCCACACCCATGACAACAGACTTAATCCATTCATGGGACAGAACCTTGCTAACATAATCATCAATTTAAGGTCTCACTTATCAACACTGTTACAATGGCAATTAGATTTTAACATGAGTTTTGGAAGAATATTCAAATTACAGAAAATCTATATCTCAAAAATGTAAACCCAATTCCAACATTTCCTACACTTATAAGGGACCATGTAGCACAGTGTGTTCCATATAAGATGTCTCCAAAAAAGATGAGAAAGAGTGCAAAGACTATTGGCTTAGGTTTGGCCATTAAGAATCAATCTCAGAAATGCAGAGAAACTCTTCTTTGTATAAATACCATAAAATATGGTAGAGTTTGAGCAAAAACCCTGATGTCTACATATAAATTTTATTTTTTTTAAATTGCTGTGTTATCTTCAGCAAGTTAGTTATTCTTTCCATACTTGAAGTTCAACATCATTAATATCTATCCCCTAGGGTCATTTTGAGGATTAAATGAATTAATACAGTTAAAAATAATTTGAACAGTTCTGGCCCTTGGTATGCAGAATACAATTGCAAACTGTTGTGTTATTAATTCTAGTATTATTATCATTATAAATATTCATTATTCCTTATATGATACTTACAGGCAGAATATATATATGAGGGAAATTCCGGAGAAATCGCCATTCTTTTTGCATGTAATCCAGAGACCCAAGGAACACAATGTCTTTCAGCTCCTGCCGGGTATAGTTGCTAGCTCTTAGGGGCATCACAAAGTTCCGAAGCCCCATCAGGGCTGTGTGGGCATCTCCAAATATGCACGCTATGATGTGGTTCCGAAAATCATGTTTTGACTTTTCAGATCGTTTCTAAGGATAAGCACACCAAAGTTGAGTATTTTCATAAACAAGATAAGAGTCCCTCAAGGAGGACACCTACTCTCATCCTGACTTGTCTAGGTACATCCACAGTGGTACCTTCATAAAGTTAATAGAGTTTTGAAAATTGCTTATAAAAATGCAACTTAGGCTTAAGTGGTGCAATTATAATTTGTGTCTTTTCTGTGAAATTACTTCTTATTTTACCTTTTTCTTCTTTTAGTTTCCTATCAACCTAGAGTGAATCAAGTAAAACTCAGATCAACATTAGTTTTCAGAATGGAAAACCACTGGGTCAAATAGGGAAAATATTTCTTAATTTTTATTATTTGTGTTTAGCCTCCTATGTGCTATAGTCTGATTGTGAAAAGCTGAGATTCCAAATTCCATTGTCAAACTTAAGTCTGCTGGAGAGCCCTGAAAATTATATTAAGTTTGTAATATGTTGAGTCATTCAGTGGTTTTTCATACAGTTGTTTGAACCACGTGGAATTGCATTTTTGCAGGTCAAGAATGGTTGAGTATTGGCCGTTTCATATGGCTCAACCTAATACATGGAACTGATTCAATAAACTTTCCTGAGTCAAGGAAATTCATCATGCCAAGCACCCAAAAGAAAGTTTACAAAATAAGCCATTTGATCCTAAACACGTCAATTATTAACATCACATCTGTTTCTAAGACGAATATAATATAATTTGTAGGACATCTATTGAGATTAGGGCTCCTCCTTCATAGAGACTCATTAAAAGCAAGTGTAAGTGAAAAATTGATATTCCTGTAGGAACCTTATTTTAGGCATCTGTCTAGTGTTTCAGGGAATGGGTGATGCCTCATCTATAGTGTTGAGATGGAATGCAAAGTGCACTGGACATGAAGATCAAGACCCGACTAGGTATTCTGGCTCTATCCCTAGCCATGTGAATAAACAAGTCACTTTAACTTTTCTGACCCTCAATTTCTTTATGTTTCAAATGGTAAAACATAAAAATAAACATTAATTTTGTTGCGGGAATTAAACAACATATTGAAAGCATCATGCTTGAGGGATTAACTGTTGTTTTGTAACTATGGATCCAATCTGAATGTTACTTGGACATTGGGAAGCCGGTAGAGAACAAGTTAAATGCATTTGAATTTCACATGTGAGCATGTTCTACATTCCTAGGCACATAAAGATGTACAATATTTCAAATGGATATGTTGTTCTTTATTATGCCTGTTGTTTTTAAGGTCAAATGACAAACTTCTACAAAACAGGGGTTGACAAAGTCTAACAGGATAAATAAGGAGCATCTGACATCTCCCCAATTAAAGTTGATCAGATTAGCAAATACTGGGAAATACTCTCTTTCTAAGGGGATCTTCTTGTGAGGGGAAATAAAACTATTTGTCTGGAGAGCTTTGCTAGAGAGTGATATGAATCTTAACCAAATCTATTAAATAATTGTCTGCAGTTAATCTGATTAGTTTTAACTTGAATAATGAAGCCTCTAATGGTATTTAATGTAACATGCCTGAAGTCCAACAATTACTCTTCTGAGGAGAACTAAACAATTAGAAACAAGATACATGGCGGAATGCATTTATGGGCACAGCTAGAGAGGCGATTTCTTTAACAAACTGGAGCACAAAACTGTCTCCCAATTAAGAAAGATGGTGGCTTTTTGGGGGAAGAAGAGGATGTAGCTTAAACTGAATATTTCCGCTTGATCCTTCTGCAAATAGAACCAAGTTTGAAGCCTTCTTGAAATTTGTAGTCTGGAAACTTTTCCCTTACAGATACAAGTTTTAAAACCCTTAGCATTTCTAAAACTAAAAGGCCCTTCTACACTTAAAGGACTCAGTGGCTGCTCTGAGTGACCTATATTCCATATCAAGTTATCATAAGGGAAATATCTATCATTGGAAATTTGTGCTTAATAAATATGTTCTAATTAAATGTTATTTCTCTTTCTTGGTCTCTTGGCTGCCTTTATCTGAATTCGATTTCTTCACCTTTCTTTCTAAAGATTTGCCTCCCACTGCAAACATGTTTGGCTTCCTGCTCAACGGATGTTTATTTTGCATAGTTTAGAATAAGACCTAATTGCTAAAATGGTGTGTTTCAGCAACCCTAATAGTCTTCCAGTTGATATGACAGCTATGACAATTTGATACTTCTGATTAAATGATTGATCATACTTTTACAGAAATCGGAACATATTCTGTCAGGACATTGGCACTGAGCCACAAAGATGTTTGTGTTTATGTGAATATGAGTAAGGAAAAAGAAACTAAACTACTGTTGGAAAGCAACAAAAAAATTATAATCATAAATTAGTCATAGAGAAGAAAATCATATAGGGTTCATACAGATGCAAACAATCATTTTTATTAGTTAAACGTATCAGTTACTTTTGTAGAGAAAAAAACCTGAAATTATGCTTGAGTTTTTAACTCTGGAAAATGGGAATAGTTGGGGATCCAGAAAACAGATGTAAGAGCCTGGGTTAGGATGCAAAGCTTCTTACAACTTGGTTGTTAGCATTTCAGTAAACTGATTAGTTTTACCATATCTAATAGAATTTGCCCAGGTTATATATAAGAAATACATATTTTGGCTAGTGTGTGTAATAGAAGCAGGGCCAGCTTCAAAGAAAAAAAAAGTATTCTAAAAGTAAAATTTCAAATCCAGTAATTTGGGGGAGATGTTTGTTTATTTTAAACAAAGGAATGACTGCATAGTCCTTGTAAACGGTAGGTTTTCCTGGTGGATTTAAATGTATTAGATTTACTGGAAAAACCTCAAAGTTTCAGAAGAGCATTATTCTAAATAATTGAGTCAGCTAAAGTGTTAAAACGGGAGGTGCAGTTGAAGAAATCAAGGTGTTTCAAATCCCACCATATTATCCCCGTAGTCTTTGTCAAATGTCTCAGGGATTATATTGCATATCATTTCATTTTGCAAATTCACCATTTACAAAGGAAAATGACAGGTGCTTATAATCAGAAGAATATCCTTTACCCTGAGGGATCATGTATTTTATTTGATAGGTGGTACAAGATCACCTACCAAAGTTACCATTTCCAAAGGGACGGCTTTGCACCAGTGAAACATGCCGGAGCCATCAAGTTTGTCAGATTCTTGCTCTGTATTGCCTAGAAGAGTCCTAAATATGGAGAATGAAAAGTTAGTTTGAGACCATTTGGGGCTCCAGTGTAAAGAGCTAAGTTGTGAAACTCATCAGAGCCTGGAGCCCAAAGTAGAGTCTGCCCAGACTACCTCATGGCTGAAGAAACACTAATTCCTAAGGGGGGGAAAATCCGGCTCTCTCTTTAGACATGCCTTAAAGGTATTATTTCTATTCTTAATTTTGTTACTATTATGATGCCACTATTGCTTGGCAGAAATCATGAGTGGTGTTGTTGGCACCTTGATCTAGAATTTAAAAGGCTGTAAGAGATTGAATTATGGGTAGCCCTTTTCCTTATTCTGTTTTTCTCCTGTCTTCTTTCTGTGTTTTTTCCTCATGGATCCCTATTGAAACTTCCCAATTTTCTAAATGCACTTTGCATTCTTTACAGCTTCCCTTATTGCCCTGCATTTGTCTAGGCTTTGCTCTGATCCTGATCTACTCTTGGAAAAGGCCTCCACCTGATAGCCCCACACTGCAGTTAGGCACAATACTGCTTTGCAGTAGGTTCAGCCACTGAAAGAATTTGATGATCTCTTGGAAAATCCCACTCAACTGCTAAGGAATGCACATGTGCTTATTAGAGAACAGAAAAAAAAAAAACCCAACTCTAGAATGTCAGAAAGTTTAGGGTATAGAATCGACCCAGATAGGCCAGGTAAAACTAGGCTTAGGCTGCATAAGCAACCTCAAAATCTCAGGGGCCAAAACACAGCACAGGCTATTTCTCAGTGCACTGTATAGTTTATTCTGGGGAATAGGTGCCTTGGCTTCCCACAGTCACTCAGAGCCTTGGGATAACAAGAGGCTCTACCATCTTTTGGCCACATGCATCCTTCTTAGTGTAGTAGAAGTGGAAAACCAAGCCTAGGCCTTTAATTGTTTTTGCAAAGTGACACATATAGTTTCTGCTCACATGGTGCCAGAACCAGTCACATGGTTCCTGTTAACTTTAAGGGGACTCTGGGACATGAGAAACAATTGCCATATTTGGTGAGCATTTCCATCTCTGCTGGAGACTTTCAGGACCTCCCCCACCCTCATTTTATAGATAAAAGGAAAGAGCTGACAAATAGTAAAACCAGCTCAGGAATATAATGCTGAGATCAAAGTCACAAGTGTTCACAATACCCCGTTCTCCTTTCCTTCCTGAGCAGTTATATGGAGGCACATGACAAGTTCTGTCCAGTGAAATGTAAGAAGGGATGACTGAGGTAGTGA